GGAGAGGGAGGTGGGAGGGGGGACCGGGATGGGGAATACATGTAAATCCATGGCTGATTCATTTCAATGTATGACAAAAACCACTGCAATGTTGTAAAGTAATTAGCCTCCAACTAATAAAAATAAATGGAAAAAAAAAAAAGAATTCTCTGCAGGGACTTCCTCAGCGGTCCAGTGGTTAAGACTCTGTGCTCTCACTGCCAAGGGTCCCGGTTCAATCCTTGGTCAGAGAACTGAGACCCCACAAGCAGACCAAAAAAAAAAAACCTGAAAATAATAAAATAAAATGACTCAAGAAGCTCAGGAAAAAAAAGAATTCTCTGTGATTTGAATCCCAGCTGTTCCATTTGCCATTGTAATTTAAGAAAATATTATCTTTTTTTTTAATTTTTAATTTTTTTTGGCTGTGCCGGGTCTTGGTTGCTGCTCAGGCTTTTCGCTAGTTGTGACAAGTGGGTGTCACTCCATAGTTGCAGTGAGCAGCTGTCTCATTTCGGTGGCTCTAGGCGCATGGGCTCAGTAGTTGCTGCTCCTGGGCTCTAGGGCGCAGCCTCTGTAGTTGTGGCACTCGGGTTTAGCTGCTCCATGGCACGTAGGACCAGGGATCGAACACGTGTCTCCTACACTGGCAGGCGGGTTCTTTACCACTGAGCTACCAGGGAAGCTGGGAGGGATTGAGGGCACGAGGAGAAGGGGGACGACAGAGGATGAGATGGCTGGATGGCATCACTGACTCAATGGACCTGGGTTTGAGTAATCTCCAGGAGTTAGTGATGGACAGGGAGGCTTGGCATGCTGCGGTTCATGGGGTCGCAAAGAGTCGGGCATGACTGAGGGACTGAACTGTATTGTACCAGGGAAGCCCTAAGGAAAGTTCTCTGAAACTCCTCTGTCCCTTAGTTTCCTCATCTGTAAAATGAGGGTGATTATAATATTTGCTCATTTGAATTAAATGAGATTTGGATTAATGAGATGTTTGACATATAGTCAATAAATGTTAACCATGCCGATGATAGTGATGATGATGGTGATAAGACACACATTGTTATTTGTGTCCCTCCTCCAAAGGAGAGAGATTTATGAGGGAGCTATTTGGTGCCAGGAAAACCTTGAACAACCCAGAAAAGAAAATCTCTATGACTGATTTTGAATTCTTTTTTTCTGGAACACTGCTTTGAATTTTCACTTATACCTTATTTTAAAATTCTAACAATCTACACTGATCCACTAAATTGAGGAAGAATCTAGAGCAAATCTGAGTTAGGCTTCATAGAAATTTTAAAGACCAATTAAATGGACAATCAAGGTATAAAAAAATAGATAATAATGATTTTTAAGAGCCTTAATGTTTAGCCTTTTAACAGTTTTCCCAAATTTCCTTTCAAGGAGATGTGCACTTTAGAAGTTGCTGGCATATTGTAAACTCATTATTTAATCTATGATACTCTTTGGAAAGAATGCAGTCCATGGAAAAAATACTTAAATTTTGATCACAGGTTATTTTCCCCAATGTGAGAAAGTACTTTGCCTCCAAAAATCCATCTATACTAGCTCAAAGTCTCTTAGAGGCAATAAACATTTCTTTTATCCCACATAAAATCACAACATACCTAATATAAAACTTTATGCCCTCAGTGAAAGTTTTAGTCTGACTTTTTCAGAAATGTGTAGCTGTAATTCTCCTGATCAGACTATAGAGCTGTCATTCAATAGAGACATTTCTTTTAAATCCATTTATTTCCCTCTCCTCCCAAAACTGAATAGTAAGGTTTTCAAACTGAGATAATTACAGACTTTAAAAATCTCCTTTAATTACTTTTGGTTATTGGTTGTTATTCCCCAAAAATGTTTAGCATACTTCTTGTTTTGAGGATCAGTTGTTTTGTTGCTAAATCATGTCCGACTCTTGCAACCCCATGGACTGTAGCCCACCAGGTTCCTCTGTCCATGGGATTTCCCAGGTAAGGTTACTGGAGTGGGTTGCCATTTCCTTCTCCAGGGGATCTTTCCCACCCAGGGATCGAAACTGTGTCTCCTGCATTGGCAGATGGATACTTTATTGCCAGCCACTAGGGAAGCCCTGTATTGAGTGTGCCTATTGCAAAAAGAGCTCTGATGAGTTTTTCAAGTTTCATACCTCATGGCTTCTACCTCCAGATCTAGAAATTTCTGCCCCCTACAAAGAGCACAGTCATTTGACACAACTACTCTCACTTTATAAGCTAGTTGACCATGATACAGAAAAAGAGTTTTTAATAGAAGGGAAGGAAACATCTGTCACATTATAGGAAATAAGCAACAGGAAAATCAGAAGCCCTTTATAAACATTTTCCTAATGCAAAATACATGTCTCCAAGTAAAGACTAACCACACTTGTCCTCCTTGCTGGCTGGTATGGTGGTTTCATTGGGCTTCCTGGCCATCTCCCCAGGGGGCAGGATCTCTTCTGGAGAAAACACTCAACAGTGTGTGCAGTCCTGCCTTCTGCTGGGTCCTTTCTTGCTGTATCTCCAAGAAGAGAATCATAGAGAGATAGAGCTAGAATTTATTTTGGAGACTTAGCAGATTAGAAAAAATGAAATTGAGAAAAAAAGTAATTTACCTCAAGCCCAAACATGTAACAACTAATAAGACTGGAACCCAATCTAATGGTCTCCATTGCTTCTAAGCCCGACTGCTGCTTTGAAGAACTCAGGATTCATAATTTCACAGAATTTTTTAGCTATATATTATTGTTATTAGTAGAAGTGAAACTATATATGCAGAGGGTAAATATGCTTTGAGACAATATTTGTATAATGTGAATTTGTTATATATAACAGAAAAATATTTTAAATTCAAATAAATAAAACTTTAAATTTTAATCTAAGAAATTTAAAATAAAAATATTTTTAGATTAATTTAAATTTTAATTTTTAAAATTAAGTTTTAAAGTTTTTAAATAAAAATATTTAAAATTTAAATGAAATAAAATTTAAAATGTGTTTATATATACTTTAAAATGTTTAACTTCTGTAAAAAAAAACTTCCTCTTCTTGAATAAAGATGTATCCACATGTGTTATTATTATTTAATTTTACCAGCATTATTGAAACTTTCATGTTAACCAGGTATAGTCCTAGGTTTAAAGATACAGAAGAGAAAATAAAATAGCCCTTGTCCCAGCTTGCCAAAAAATTGGAGAGGCTGACATAAAACAGAAAAGTATGATACTGTGTGATTCCACATGGCAGATTTGGGAACAAGAGCTTCTGTATGTCTGCATCCCAGGCTTGAGCGAGAATGAGGACCGGGCAGGGACCAGATCATGGAGAACTTTGTACATTGTGCTAAAATGCTTGTAGTTTACCCAAAAATGGCTAGAAGACATTGAGAAAGTAGATGCTCTAAAATCATGTGACTCAAATTATACTATAGAGCTAGTGGATTTTTTTTCTGTTCCTTAATACTGAACACCTTGATACAACATCTGAGAGTGGAATGTGATGAGTCAGCAGACTCTAGTTCCAGTTGTAGCACTGACGGAAATCTCAGTTTCGTCATCTGTAAGGTGGGGGTCATTATTGGATTGTTGTAAGAAGGATCGGAGGGAAGGCTATTAAACATTTATTACCATGTCTGGAATAGTAAGGGCTTCCCTGGTGGCTCAGCTGATGAGGAATCCACCTGCAATGTGGGAGACCTGGGTTTGATCCCTGGGTTGGGAAGATGCCCTGGAGAAAGGAAAGGCCACCTACTCCAGTATTCTGGCCTGGAGAATTCCATGGACTATATAGAGCTGGTCATGACTGAGGGACTTCCACTTCACTGGCATAGTAAACACTCAATAACTGTAAACTGGCATCATCTTCATCATGATCATCATCATAAAAGACTGAAATGAAAAAATGGATTAGCATGCTAAGGGTTAATTGTAACATCTCGGGTTAAGAGCAGTGTTCTAACTCTGCTGAGTAGATCACTTCAAGTAATGAAGTCCCTTCACAGAGGACTACTTTGTCAGAGGCATGGCTAGAAAGGGGCAACAGTTAGCAAAATTCATTGATTATGTAACTGAGATGAACTTTCCCTTTGATTTTGCTGTTTAAGAACATGTAAGAAAAGAAAACAAGTTTCAGCGGCTGAGATCAGTATCAAAGGAGAGCTGTGTGCTTGCTTTGTTAGTTAAAAGTAGAAGAGGAAAACATCAAAGTCTGCTGGAGACTGGGGATAAAAATCAACTTTTGTGTTACCTCCCTTTGTTGATCAGCAGGCCCATATTATGCTTTCAACCCACTAGTAGGTTGTAACTAATTGTTTATAAAGTATCTTTATAGTTTAATGACTGAAAGTTATTTTTGGCTGTATCTTTATTATTGGAATACTTCCTGTAATTGCACCAAATTCAAAGTTTGAAATATAGTTTAGCAATTCCAGTTTGGTTAAATTGAAAATTAAGTAGGTCAGAATTAGGTTTACCATAAGCATAATGCCATCTATCTTTTAGAAACGGCCTATATTTCAGTATTCTATAGAATAATAGGTTTACTTTCTGTGTTCTCTTTTGTTAGTGCTCCTATATTCCTCCCTGTAAGAGAGAAAATCAGAAGAACTTGGAAAGTGTCATGAATTGGCAACAGTACTGGAAAGATGAGATTGGTTCCCAGCCATTTACTTGCTATTTTAATCAATTTCAAAGGTAAGCAAATATTTACATGTGCATATGAAAGTTGTTTGTAGCCTCGGTAGCTAATTATATTAGTAAATCATAGATTGTGCTCACTTGACAAAATATACAACATGGAGATAGATAGTCTCGACTCTTCCTAGCATGTAGGTAGGGTAGCCGTTTCTTACTCTATAGGGTGGGGGGTCATGTATAGCTAGGCAAAAAAGGTGTATAGCATGTATATGCTAGCCAAAAAAGGTGAGAACTGTATCATGCATTATAGAGTTTACCCTCTGGATACACTAAGAAAGTGCCTTTAGGTAGGAGGACTGTATATTAGGAATGTTCTCCCGAATCATTTGTGATTAATGATCACAAACTGAACAGTGTTCAGATTTATCATCATTTTGGTCTATATCAAACCTTATCTTTCTTTTTCCTTTCTATTCTGACCAGGTATCTTCAAATGTTTCCATCATTAAAACTTTACTTGACCTAGAGAGAACTCAAGTTATAGCATATAGCAACAGTTTCTTGAATTAGAATATTTCAGTATCCGCCCAGATTAATCATAGTAATTTGTTCATCAAATGTTGAGTATCCTCAGCTCTTTGCTGTCACTCTTCATTTGGGTGTTCCACACTTAGGTCAGACTTTCTCTTCCTCCCATGACCCCTCTCTTAGTGAATGGCACCGTAGTCTACTCACTTACTGAGTCTGGAAACTGAGTAATTCTTAACTCACTTTTCTCCTTTGTGCTCTATAACCTATATTTATCATCCTGTTGATTTTATCCTGTATTAACTCATCTGTGCCTTCCCTCTGCCACTGTTTTAGTTCAGATTCATGTTATTTCTCATGAATCCTAGAACACAATTGTATTCTAACTATTAACACAACAATCAATAGTCTTCTAACCAGCCCTTCTACTTCCACCCTTTGCCCCACTCTAAGACATTCTCCATGTCGCTGCCAAGACTGTCTTTCTTAAACTTGAAAGCAAGAATAAGCAGTTAGGATCTACCTCTGAGTCAGGGATATGGCAGAGTCTCCTAATTCATGTAGAGGAAGGAGGTACATAAAAGGGGCAATTTGTAGAACATCCCAAAGTGCCAGCTACAAGATATACCTCTGTGTGCTGTCTGGAGCTCTTTCTCAGGTTTGCAGTCCTAACTATACCAGAAGAACTTTAAAAAAAAATGCATCACAGATGAATTAACTTAGAATTTTTGGTGGTTGCACCTAGGCATTAGCATTTAAAAAATCAATTCTAGGGATTCTAATATACAGTCAGGGTTGAGAGCCACTGCTCTATCCTCTCACCCATAACCCTCTACTGGAATTGTTTGTATGCCCATCTTCCCAACCAGATTGCCTACTGGTTAATGGTACGGACCATATCTTCTTTGGCTTTGTATCCCTAGTACTTAGCACAGTGGCTGGTTCTCAGTTAAGAAATGTTTGGTGAATGAATGAATCAATGAATGTAATGTGCCACAATAATAATGAGGGTTCTTTGCTTCCAAGGAATTAGACTTTCTTGGGGAAACAGAGCTTATGCAATGTAAGGGCACAATAAAGGACAGAGATGGTTTACCTATCAGAAGCAGAAGATATTAAGAAGAGGTGGCAAGAATTTCATGCAAAGAATGATTTCATCAGTTAGCAATGAAAGGGAGGAAGACCTTAAAGATGGGGTGGCTGTGAAAAAAAAAACAAGTTTGGCAATATAAGTAACATTAGGTACATAGGTTATGGAGTGGTAAATTTGTAAGCTGGATATGTAGCTTAGGGTTAGATTTCCAAAGGGTCATCAATGCCAAGTTAAGGAGAATGTTCTTTGTCATTTGGGCAATGAAAATTTGTGAAAAGGTTTTCTTTTTTTTGAACCAAAGACTCACTTGAGTATATCTCTGATATAGAAAGTAAGGGGTGTGAGAGCTGAATGTGTTTTGGAGAGGAAAGATGGGCTGAAAGCAAGGAGCTCCAGCTCAGAGATGGGGGGGAGGTAAGGAGAGTCCTGAGTGAAAAGCATGGCATTTCTGAGTGGTGGCCTGTGCCAATCATTGTGAATAACAGTTTGGTTAGATCACTGTATCTCTTAATAAGAGTTCTAAATACTGGCCCCACTTGACAGGTGGGAAAACTGAGTCTTAAAGACTCCAGCTGAAGTCTTTGAGAGAAAAAAACAGAGTGCAGCTCGAAACCAGCTCATCTGATTCCCTGAGCTCCTTCTGTTAGCTCTTCTTATCCCAATAAAGCAGTCTGAGAGTAGTTGTAGTGGCAGTAGCCCATGGAGGGGTACATCAGAGCGACATTTAGAATCACAGTCAGCAGAGCTTAGCAGCCATGTGAGTGATGCGGAAAAGGGAGGTGTCACATCTGGCTGAGTGTGAGAAAAGGATTGTCTAGCTCTGACGATGCTGAATCTGAGAGTCTCAAAATAGCCAAAAGAAAGAGGTAGAAGGGGAGGGAGGTGGGAGGGGGATTCAGGATGGGGAACACGTGTAAATCCATGGCTGATTCATGTCAATGTATGGCAAAAACCACTACAATATTGTAAAGTAATTAGCCTCCAACTAATAAAAATAAATGAAAAAAAAAAAAAAAGAAAGAGGTAGAAGTCCAGACTTTCAGTTCAAGAGCAAGAAGCCAGGGTCAGTGCTATACAGATCTGGGAATCGTTGGCACACAAGCCGCAGTTGAAGCAAAGAGAAAGAACGCACACTGGGAAAGAATGCATCCTGGAGTGAGGAGAGAAATGTTGACAGAATCTTGGGATCCTCTGTGTTGATGGTATCCTCTGAGGGGGAGGAGATGGAGAGAGAGTGGCCAGATGTTGAGAGGAAAGTGAAAAGACTTGGAAGGCCGAGTGTTTTAAGGGGAAAAGAATAATCAAGATGCACTACTGAGAAGTCGTCAATTGTGGCAGCTCCGAGCGTGTAAGTGATCTTCGTGAACACAGTTTAGGTACTGCCTTAAAGCAAAGGGTTTGAAATCACTTTGTCTTAGGCTGAGATGAGCCTGTGAAGGCTTTACCAAGTGCAGACTACTTGTTCAAGAAGTTTGCCGTGACTGGAAAATGAATTTGAGGGAGGAGATGAGTAATTGAGAGGGAAATAGGGATGGATACAGAGAAATGAGACAGGGTATGGACTAAAACTGCTGAGGAAGAAGGAAATATTGACTACACATAGTAAATAAGGAAAAAAGGGAACATTCCCCTAGGAAGACAGGGGAGGATGAAATACAGAGGTGAAGTGGGGATATGTTTTTCAGTGAGACGGGGAGCCCAGCCACAGGAAATAGGCATTAGCAGTCAAGACAGTTTGATACCGAACCCACCACGGTAGGCTCCCAACCCCTGGACCAGGAGCTGGTTTCCAAATGTGCATGACCTTGAGCTTGCAGGAGAAAGCAGATAGGCACTCCCTCTCACGGGCTATGCTCCCCAGCTCCCGGTCATCTTGGTAACTTGACCTCACTCCCCGCTCAGGTACCAAGTTTTCTAAAGGCTGCCTCCTCCAAATAGGGCTGCCTTCTGCTAGGGCACGAGCTCTGAATATCCGCGGTGCCGAATCAAACAGGACCATTCCCTGGCATGCTGAGAATTGTCTGTAAAGAACTAACCCTGCATTATGCTGGGTTGGCCAAAAAGTTTTTGGGGTTTTTCTGTAACATCTAATGGAAAAACCTGAATGAACTTTTTGGCCAACACAGTTTATCAATTATAGTATATCAACTTTAGTAGTGGTACATTTAAGCTCATCATTCCTTCTTCAGAACAGGTACCCGTTCCCCATCCATCATCTCACTGTCCCATTTTCAAACTGTTGGGGTATAGACAGCAGTAGGGGTGGTCTCTCACAACTCAGAAGCACTCCAGACATGATTTTAAGTGACTTCTAGAAAACAGAAGTTTGAGGTTTGGCTCTTTCATCATGACATTTGCAAGAGGAAACAAGAGTGCTGGTTGGAGGTGTGAAAAATGGCAGCTCCTTGGTGCCGTCTACTCTTGGTACACTTTTTACTACTGCTAAATATGAAATAAAAATAGACTCACTGTAAAGACTCCCAGATGCTCTTGATAAGATGAACTTTATATTTAAAGTAACCTTTAGATTTCACTCAAATGCAGGATTGGGGAGAAAAGTTCTCAAGAAGTTTCCGTTTTCAAGAAAAGGATGTTATTTTAAAGATCTAAGACAAAGATGATTGGAGTCTTAGCTTTCCATTGTTGAAGGCTTATTTAGGTGAGTTACGCTCAGACATAGATCTCTGCAGCGGCCAGAGCAGCCATCAGTAGCCAGGCCTGCCGTGGAAGGATGGTCCCCATGCAATCACCCCGTCCTTCTGTGCCCCCCAGGAAGCACAGCGTGGTGTGGTAACTTCATGCCCAGGGCTCGTGGAACCAGGCCCTGGCTGCCTCTATTCATGATCTTCCCATACAGCCTTTTGGCTCTATGTCTCCTTCAACCTTGAAGCATTGCATCTCCATACAATGGGTAGATTTTTATTTTACACTCTTTGGTATGGGTAAGGTCACACTTACTTTCCCTATATGTATTTTTGTCTCTTGTTAGCCTTTCCTTGGTTTATCTTTTCTCAGCAAAACCCCAGCAATGCCCACTTCTCTCTGTCTCACTCAAAGTCTCTCAGTAATGTCCAACTCTCTGCACCCTATGGACTGTAGCCCACCCGGCTCCATGCCCCCTGGCCAGTTTTTTTCTTTTTGTGTCTGTGCCGGGTCTTTGTTGCCGCACGGACTTTTCTCTAGTTGCGGCAAGTGAGGACTGCTCTTCAGCTGCAGTGTGCAGGCTTCTCATCGCCGTGGCTTCTCCTCTTGCGGGGCGTGGGCTCTGAGAGCTCGGGCTTCAGGAGTTGTGGCTCCCGGGTTCCAGAACACAGGCTCAGTAGTTGTGGCACACAGGCTTAGCTGCTCCAAGGTACGTGGCATCTTCCCGGACCAGGGATGGAACCCGTGTCTCCTGCATTGGCAGGTGGATTCTTTACCACTGAGCCACAGGGAAGCCCACCAAGTTTGTTTTGAAATCTCCGTTCAGTTGCTCAAAAACATCTCTTACTTAGTCTTTCCATACAATTTTCCTCCCTCATCTTTGCCTTCACCAGCTTCCCCTTGATGAGGGCGTGTCCCTGGAAAATAGGTACTGATTCCTTAATTCCCTTTGGATCTAAGGACAAGGAAGCGTGATCTGTCCTTAGTTTTTGAACTTCTCCTCTTAAGGAAAGCATTGTATTTCTCTATACAGGTTTACTTTTTAATACCTAATTTTTTTGTCCTAAGTGAATAATAGTTCACAGAGGGCACAGAACAGGCTTACACATGCACATGCGTGCACACCCACATCCACACACACACACACACACACAATTGTCAATTGAACAAATCCAGCCACTTCACCTGTGAAGCCTTGAATTCATTCCCTCAGTTGAGGCCTTCATTGTTTTTCATCTAGATTGTTGAAGTGCGCCTCAACTGGTCTTTTAGGCTTGGCCTTTCTTTCATCAGTCATCTACCCTAGACTAAGTATTGTTGTACTTCATTTAAGTCTTACTTGATTTTGTCACAGTCCTTGATTAAAATTTTCTGCCTTCTTATTGTTCATTGGATGAAGACTATGCCCTTCCAATTCCAGGTTCAACTTCTGCTGTTTACCCACATGTCCATAAGCTGAAAAAAGAAAAACAGATGTAATCCATGCCTTCATGGAGCTTATAGCCTATCATCACACTAGCTGGATAATTACAAAGTGGAGTAAACACCATGAAGGAAAACCAGGGGTGCTGCTATGAGATATTATAACAAGGTGGGGAATTTCAAAGGCCTGTATACATAAATCATAATTAGATGGAGACCAGAAGATGGTCAAGAGTAGGTAGGCAAAAAGCAAGGGGAACAGTATTTCAGAATGAGACACCACTGTGTGCAGAGATTCTGAGGCAAGAAAGTTTGGTGAGTTTTAGGACCCAAAAGGCCCCCATGACAGAGGAGCTGCTAGGGAGAAGGAAAGTGGTGAGTGTTGATTCTGGAGAGAATAGGCAGGGTTTGAAGCGAAGTAAAGTTGCTCAGTCGTGTCCGACTCTTTGCAACCCCATGGGCTGTAGCCTACCAGGCTCCTCCCATGGGATTTTCCAGGCAAGAATACTGGAGTGGGCTGCCATTTCCTTCTCCAGAGGATCTTCCCCACCCAGGGATCGAACCTGGGTCTCCCACATTGTAGGCAGACACTTAACCATCTGAGCCACACATTTCTCTTAAACTCAGTGAGTAGCCAGTGATGGGAAGTGGTGACATGGCCTGATTTAAAGATTTCCACATTCATTCCACCAAGTCCAGTCACCTCAGAGTATGCCGTTTCACACACATTCATGCCTTTGCCCTGTCTCTCTCTCCTTCCTTCTCCTTCTCCCTTTTGTAGGAATTAGCACACTACAGTGGTAGGAAGCCTGAAACTAGCCACTTTCTAACACGTGATATATTACTCTGACCTATGTGTGCCCCCATCCCCTTTGTAGAAGGGAGAAATAATAAGGTTATTGTGAGGTTATCAGTGAGATGGCACATGCCTAGCCCTGAGTAATTCCTATGAAAGTGTTTGCCATTATTATTTTTGTTACTATTAAGACTTGCCTCAAAGGCCACTGTGTAAACTCCTCTCACCTTTTCAGGTATAATTAGTCACTCCCTCTTCTGAGTTCCTACAGGGTCATGATTGCTTTTATCACACTGTTAGAGAGTTGGCTGAATATGTATCTTTCTCCTTGGATAGGTTATGACTTCCTCAATGCAGCAACCATGTGGCCTTAGGTGTCTGGTTTACATTTCTTCTCTCCCACTTAATAACTATGTGACCGAGGGTAAATTGTGGAACTTCTTGCCCTTGATTTTGTCATCTGTAAAATGAGACAACATTGTCTCTCTTAAGGATTTTACTTTTTATTTGTTTATTCTGGTAGTGATCATATCTGCACAAGAATGAGTACTTAGTATATGTATGTGCTTTTCTTTCCTTGCCCTGTAAATTTGTAACATCAATGATGGAAGCAACTAATCAGAGCATAGCCTAGGTATTCACTGATTAGATGCTGAGTGAGATCTTGAATGAATACATAATAGACATTTGATTAATGAGTAAAGTGATGGAACACACAAAAATAACTCAAAGGAAAGAATTCTACTGTGAAATGAAATAAGTATGTTGTACTTCTGATCCTGAACAGATATATCCTAATTTTTAAGTTCACCCAGAGTATGTTTGTCCTATGATATATATTTTCCAAATTAAATTTGTCCTTAGCATTTTAGAGAAAGATGAACATAATGGTCTGAGCTAAAATTGAATAGAATGCTCTTTAGAGTACAGTTTGAAAGTCATAGAAAAGGAATGCTCACTTACTTAGGGCTTAGTTTTCTTACCTACAAAATTTCATAGATTAAATGATCTCTAAGAGTCCTCTAAGTTCTCAAGTTTTATGCTTTTGTTTGTTAGAGAGTTGGCTGAATATGTATCTTTCTCCTTGGATAGGTTATGACTTCCTCAATGCAGCAACCATGTGGCCTTAGGTGTCTGGTTTACATTTCTTCTCTCCCACTTAATAACTATGTGACCGAGGGTAAATTGTGGAACTTCTTGCCCTTGATTTTGTCATCTGTAAAATGAGACAACATTGTCTCTCTTAAAGATTTTACTTTTTATTTGTTTATTCTGGTAGTGATCATATCTGCACAAGAATGAGTACTTAGTATATGTATGTGCTTTTCTTTCCTTGCCCTGTAAATTTGTAACATCAATGATGGAAGCAACTAATCAGAGCATAGCCTAGGTATTCACTGATTAGATGCTGAGTGAGATCTTGAATGAATACATAATAGACATTTGATTAATGAGTAAAGTGATGGAACACACAAAAATAACTCAAAGGAAAGAATTCTACTGTGAAATGAAATAAGTATGTTGTACTTCTGATCCTGAACAGATATATCCTAATTTTTAAGTTCACCCAGAGTATGTTTGTCCTATGATATATATTTTCCAAATTAAATTTGTCCTTAGCACTTTAGAGAAAGATGAACATAATGGTCTGAGCTAAAATTGAATAGAATGCTCTTTAGAGTACAGTTTGAAAGTCATAGAAAAGGAATGCTCACTTACTTAGGGCTTAGTTTTCTTACCTACAAAATTTCATAGATTAAATGATCTCTAAGAGTCCTCTAAGTTCTCAAGTTTTATGCTTTTGTAATTCCCTGATTCTGAAGATGTGTACAATTGCAATAGCTTAAGATGTTGGATCAAATCCTAATGGTGAAAGAGAAAGCAAATTAGCAAAGAACCAAATGGTTAACAGTCTGGAGCCATTAAGTGGAGGAGCAGAGAGTCCTACCTCAACAATAGTTGAGTTCATAATGATGACACTGAATCATCAAAAAAGTTAAATTTGGTTCAATATACTCTCTTTAAAAGGTAAGAAAATGTGTAGTGCATTTTTAGAAAGATGTTACCAGTTATATTTTAATATTTGTATTGGTTTTTATTCAACTTAAAAGGTTAAACTTCAATTATTTGAAAGAATCACTTGTGTCAATACCTACCTCCTTCCCTTGAAATAAACAATATTGTTTTATGGAGTCCAAAATCTTTCTGCCACAAAATAGCTAATGACTCTTCTATCATGGTGTTACCCTTCCCAGCATCCTGGATTTGATCCATCGAATTACCACCATTTCAGTCATTTACTCTTAAAAAAATTTTTTTTTAATTGGAGGATAATTGGTTTACAAAATTGTGTTGGTTTCTGCCACAGATGACAAATAAACATGTGAAAAGATGCTCAACATTGCTCATTACTAGAGAAATGCAAATCAAAATTACAATGAGGTATCATCTCACTCCAGTCAGAATGGCCATCATTTAAAAATCTGCAAGCAATAAATATTGGAGAGTATGTGGAGAAACAGAAATCCTCTTGCACTGTTGATGGGAATGTAAATTGATACAGCCACTATGGAGAACAGTATGGAGATTCCTTAAAAATCTAGGAATTAGAACTACCCCCGTGGCTCAGTGGTAAAGAATCTGCCTGCCAACGTAGGAGACTTGCAGGAGACAAGGGTTCTATCCCTGGGTCAGGAAGATCCCCTGGAGGAGGAAATGGCAACCCACTCCAATATTCTTGCCTGGAAAATTCCATGGACTGAGGAATTCAGTGGGCTACAGTCTGTGGAATCACAAAGAGTTGGGCATGACTGAACANAGCTGAAGCTCCAATCCTTTGGCCACCTGATGTGAAGAAGTGACTCATTTGAAAAGACCTGATGCTGGGAAAGATTGAAGGTGGGAGGAGAAGGGGATGACAGAGGATGAGATGGTTGGATGGCATCACCGACTCAATGGACATGAGTTTGAGTAAGCTCCGGGAGTTGGTGTTGGACAGAGAGGCCTGGCATGCTGCAGTCCATGGGGTCACAAAGAGTTGGACACTACTGAGTGACTGAACTGAACTGAAGGAAAGAGATTTCGGGTAAAATAAAGAATATTCAGAGGCATGAAGATTTGAAATGTCGTAGGCAACTGAATGGAATGTAAGGCTCTACATATTCTTGGAGAGTCCTTTTAGGGGGAAAGTGATAGATGAACTTGAAGAGGGTGAATCAGATAATGCTTTGCTTTTATGGCATGCTGAGGTTTTAGACTTTACTCTGTATGCAGTGGAGGAGCAATATTCACGTTTGTGATTTAGGGAGACCAGTCTTGTGACTGAATGGAAGGTAGACAGGATATAAGGTTAAACTATGTGGAAATTATTGAGTCAGTCTAAACAAGGGATGAAAAGAGCTTGGGCAAAGGCAGAATTAGTGGAGAAGTGAAGGAGGGACTGGGTATAAGACTGTATGGAAGTGGAGCTCACAGAGTTAGAGATACACCTGTGCATGACTGGGAGTCAGATTCAGAGGAGGATGGATTGCACGACTCTGGTTTGCTGTCCTGGCTATTGGAGGCAACATCAATTAGGGGTCTCTGGGAAGACTTTTGTTTTCCCAATATAAGTACCATCCCCTCCTGTTTCTACTACTTTTGTCCTGGCAGAGAAGTGGATAGAAGTGGCTTGATGGCAGAAATGCAGAAGCCATGTTGCAACTTTGAGGTGATACGCATCAAGGTGGGCATGCATACGTTATGAAGGGTAGAGCAAAAAGATAGAAAAAGCCAGCTTTGCCACACCATCCTCGAGTAGCTGCCCCCGCCCTGGCCCACCTACCTCTGAATTTCTTATTATGTGAGATTAATAATACATGCTTATATATATGTCTCTGAATGCATTTATAACCAATATGGTGAAAAATGGTTGGTCAGTTATAGTTGATTTTGGCTATGTCTTTGCATCTGTCTTTGACTTATGAAACTCTAAAATCAGATTTCTTTTTTTGGCAATGCCTCTCTTCTTGCAGGATCTTAGTTCCCCAGTCAAGGATTGAATTTTGGCCCCCACAGTGAAAGAACCAAGTCCTAACCATTGAACTGGCAGAGAATCTGCCAGATTTCTTTTTAATATATTTATAGTTGAATTTAATTGCTCCAATGGCTTCTAAGCTTTCCTTTCATTTTTTTGTAAGACAAATTAATAAAGAAATAAACTTGTTTTTACTGGTAGACCCCTTAGGATACAAATGGGGAGAAATGTGCATATAAATGTGGAAAAGGATATTTTGAATAAATTCTATAGGGAAATTTTATTGACTTTTGGATGAATTACTAAATACTAGACTTATTTAACAAAAATTTCATTTTTAATAGATCTTTTTACTTTTGTTTTCTGTTTACTCTGAAAAATATTTCTTATAATCTTTCATTAAATAGGAGACTGATTCAAAAGTTGTTTTTTTTTTAAGGAATATGGCTTTCCTTTTAGACATTAAGTCCAATGAAATATCTTGAGTCTTAAAAAACAAAGCAATGAATCTGGATTCTTACCCACATTGAGTCTATTCTGTGTACATTTGTGTCTGGTTCCATATTAAGAGAGATTACATCAGAATTGAAAGCTCTGGTCTCAAAATCTGTACTTTTTAAAAAACAAGCAATGATTTCTGTGGCTTCTCCAGCATGCTGTAGAATATGTATGGAATTCATTTCAGTGTTCTTCCAAAATCTGACATCCAAATGGCTGTACATTACTTAGGATATAAATTTGAGAGTCTGTTTTCTGATGGTTATTCAAAGTGTTCTTAATGCTTGCAAATTCATCTCCTAACAGTTTTTATCATCATGGCAGTAAAGTCAAGAATTTGATGTTATTAAATCACTTTTCATTTAAGATAGTTTATGCAGCTATTAAACAAAGCCCTGAGGGTGTTTGGGAGGAAAACTCCAGGAACCGAAGGACAAGTAGGTCACAGAGTGCAGCGCCGTCAGAGGGCGGAATGAGGGCAGGGCTGTGCGTCAGGAGACTTGCGTTCTATCCATAGCTCTCCTCCTGACTCGGCGGATGACCTTGGGCTACTTACTGAAGAGCTCTTGCCTCAGTTTCATCTTGGACAAAATGGGGGCAGAATAAGCCTCTTACTAACAGAAGCAGAAGATCTTAAGAAAGGTGGCAAGAATACACAGAAGAACTGTACAAAAATGATCTTCATGGCCCAGATAATCACGATGGTGTGATCACTCACCTAGAGCCAGACATCCTGGAATGTGAAGTCAAGTGGGCCTTAGGAAGCATCACTACGAACAAAGCTAGTGGAGGTGATGGAATTCCAGTTGAGCTATTTCAAATCCTAAAAGATGATGCTGTTAAAGTGCTGCACTCAATATGCCAGCAAATCTGGAAAACTGAGCAGTGGCCACAGAACTGGAAAAGGTCAGTTTCCATTCCAATCCCAAAGAAAGGCAACGCCAAAGAATGTTCAAACTACCACACAGTTGCACTCATCTCACATGCCAACAAAGTAATGCTCAAAATTCTCCAAGCCAGGCTTCAACAGTACATGAACCGTGAACTTCCAG